TGTTGAAATTCGAATTAATGAACAAATTAAACTGTTCGAATTGGCAACAAATCATCAGAAACAGTTGATAATAGACGCTAGGATCAGAGTTTTGCATAACGAATTTCATTTATTTTTCTATTATAGCTTTGATTTTACTAAAGAAATCTGCTACAAATGTTAATATCAAATATGAGATTCATTTATGTTTTCTATTTGATATTGTTGATTACAACGGAAATCCAAACGGATAATGAAATGAAAATAACAGCAACCCAAAAAGATGTAAGTATTATTAATAAATATTATTAATTCATTTGATATGTTATTAAGTAAACTTTTCAATTTGACAAAAACAAGAAAATCTGTGAAAATCTAAAGCAATATAAAAATGGTAGCGAATTCAGCATACTAGCAATTGGAACAACATCGAAGCGATTTTTATTAATAACAAAGGATGCCTTTGTGTATGACGCTCCAATCCATTCCTTAGATCGGGCCCATGATCAATTATATTTACGAACAAAGCCAAAACTAATCAAAGATAAATATCCAATTCTTTTCAAGAATCCAATGTTTATTAATATTCGAACAACCCATAATATTCCTAATGCATTGATAATCAACGATGGAAAAGAGGATTGGTTTTTTTTTAACCAACGGAAACGAAAAACAATGTTGAAAGTTCATTATAACATCTATACTTCTGAAGTGTCTACTAAATTTGTTCCATTTGTTGAGAAAAACGAAGTTTTTGTCTCAAGCGACAAGCCACGCCATTATTATTCATTAGTTAAGGTGAATAATAATTTGTTTATGAGTATTGATCGATATGATGATAACGATGATTTTAAGAATATGTCGATCATACCCTCCGAAGGCGTTAAACATTTAATATGTTCACGAACAAACACGACAATTAGGATGGAAAAAGGGATCAAATGTCGTTCGGCTATTCCGGTTCAATGGCCAATATTGAAAGGATTTGTGAGTGGCAACAAATTCTATTTATTTGGTCATTCATACATCTACATTTTCGATGAAGATGTATACAATAATCAAGGAGAAGAATATCCAGTGAAAAAAATAAGTTACGATACTTATTTTATATGTCAAGATGAAAAAATTCCAACAGAAAGAAATCGAGAGCAAAGAAAAGAAAAAAACAGTAAGTTTGCTATCAAGTTTGTGATTGAAAATTGAATTTAATTAATATTTATCATCTTCACAGTGATGCAATATGTATTCCTTGCATTCTTCCTTATTCTATCATTCATTTCTTTCTGGTAATGAATTGAATGAACATTTAATTCAATAGTAACAATTATTGTTACTTTATATAAATTGAGTTCTAGTTCATGATTGAACCTAATAGTTTGATTATTAATTAAAAGTTTAATTGATATTCTTCTATTATTTGGTGTAATATTCTCAATTTATAACATTTCTTTATATGTGCCGACAAGAACAAAATGAATGTAAGTTATATGATAAGTTTTGTAATTGATAATTTACTTAATTTAAATTTATCATCTCCACAGTGAACATGCCAATAATTCCTGGTCTAATGATCATCATCCTGACTTGATCCTAGGAAAAAGCAGCGAAAAAATCGAGAAAACAAAAAACAAGAAAAATATTAACAATCGTTCCGTAATCAATCATCATCACATACATTCGATCAAAAAAAATCAAATAAATCGGTTCAATCATCAACAATTAGCTAATTGGCTAAAATAAAATCAACAAAACAACAAAAAATATCAAAAATAAATAATCTATAAGTTTTTTTATTTTGTGAAATAATGGGTTATGGGTTCCAATATGCATTCTACTGAGAGAGAATTACGATACTAACTGATACGACATACAAGCGTTGGTGCTTGGAAGTTGATGCAGCTATAAGAAGTTGGGGTTACATAAATATGTCGATTGTAACACGTTGGCTTTGATTCGAAGAATGCTACCGAAACAAGAGTTATATTTAGTTTGATCCATAAAGAAATTGAATTTTATCAACAATACTTGTTTGCAAAATCATGATTGTCATATCTAAACTGATGGTTGATGGTTGTAATGGATTTAGTTTGATGCTAAATTTCGAATGTCCAGTATTCGATTGCAAGCTAAATTCATTTGAATATTTAAAATTGTTTTGTTTTTAAATTGACAATTTGTTAAAATTTAATAAACATATTTTGTTTAATCAATTTTTCGTGAAAGGTTTTCAAAAAAATTTTTTTTTTTGATCATCCTGTCGTTTATGAAGAACGCCAAAAAGCTCAAGCAACTTGCTTGCTTCTCAACTGAAAAGGGCATGTTGAAAAAGAAAGTTGTCAATTGTGAACTTGACTTTGCAGTGTGAGCACGTTGTCAGAGTGATGATGAAATGAAACTTGTTGTTTTTGTTGAGTATAGAATTCTTTTTTGCGTGATTATTCTGTTGCGAATTAATTGTGATACGAATAATTGAATGTTTATTAATTAAAAGTTTTTTGATAAGTTTTCCCGAGAAAAGTTTTTGTGAGTTTTCCTTTAGATGTTAATCATTTCATCATCGACTCAGTTTCAATTTGTTTTGAGTAAAATTTTCTAAAAAATGAAAANTTGATCATCCTGTCGTTTATGAAGAACGCCAAAAAGCTCAAGCAACTTGCTTGCTTCTCAACTGAAAAGGGCATGTTGAAAAAGAAAGTTGTCAATTGTGAACTTGACTTTGCAGTGTGAGCACGTTGTCAGAGTGATGATGAAATGAAACTTGTTGTTTTTGTTGAGTATAGAATTCTTTTTTGCGTGATTATTCTGTTGCGAATTAATTGTGATACGAATAATTGAATGTTTATTAATTAAAAGTTTTTTGATAAGTTTTCCCGAGAAAAGTTTTTGTGAGTTTTCCTTTAGATGTTAATCATTTCATCATCGACTCAGTTTCNATGATGAAATGAAACTTGTTGTTTTTGTTGAGTATAGAATTCTTTTTTGCGTGATTATTCTGTTGCGAATTAATTGTGATACGAATAATTGAATGTTTATTAATTAAAAGTTTTTTGATAAGTTTTCCCGAGAAAAGTTTTTGTGAGTTTTCCTTTAGATGTTAATCATTTCATCATCGACTCAGTTTCAATTTGTTTTGAGTAAAATTTTCTAAAAAATGAAAAATCATTCCCCAAAAAATAAAGACGATGAAATTATTCTGTTTTAAATTCCACTGATTAATTGTGACCCGAATTAATGTTAATTGGAATTTCCAATAAGTTTTTCAAAAAAGTTTTTTTTCTAAATTTTCCTTTTTGTGTTCAGCACGCGCATTTCATCATCGACTCATTTTTT